GAATGAATGAATGAATGAATGAATGAATGAATGAATGAATGAATGAATGAATGAATGAATGAATAAGTAAGTTAGTAGGTCCTGATCTCATAATTACAGCATCCTGAGCTCATAATTACGAGAACTCATGATTACAGTGTCACATTTAAGAGAAAAGACCTCATAATTATGGGTCCTGATCTCATAATTACGAGAAAATGTGTCATAATTACGAGACATGATGTCATAATTAAGGGTAAAGGTCTTATAATTATGAGAAAAAATATAATTATGAAAAAAGATCTCATTATTACAAGTCATGATCTCATAATTATGAGAAAATGTGTCATAATTACGAGACATGATGTCATAATTAAGGGTAAAGGTCTTATAATTATGAGAAAAAATATAATTATGAAAAAAGATCTCATTATTACAAGTCATGATCTCATAATTATGAGAAAATGTGTCATAATTACAAGATGAGATCTCATATTTACAATAAGATGTCATAATTTTGAGTCCTGATCTCAATTATGAGAAAATGTGTCATAATTATGAGAAAAGATCTTATAATTTCGAGAAAAAATATAATTATGAGAAAAGATGTCATAATTACGAGAATATTTCTCATAATTACAAAAAAGATCTCATAATTAGGGGTCCTGATCTCATAATAACGAGAAAATGTGTCATAATTACAAGACGTGATGTCATAATCAAGGGTAAAGGTCTTATAATTATGAGAAAAATATAATTATGAAAAAAAAATCATTATTACAAGTCATGATCTCATAATTATGAGAAAATGTGTCATCATTACAAGATGAGATCTCATATTTATGATAAGATGTCATAATTCTGAGTCCTGATCTCATAATTATGAGAAAATGTGTCAATTATGAGAAAAGATCTTATAATTTTGAGAAAAAATATAATTATGAGAAAAGATCTCAATTACGAGATACTGATTTCGCAGTTTTAAGAAAATTTGTCATAATCATGCGATGAGATCTCATAATTATGATAAGATGCCATTATTACGAGAACATTTCTCATAATTACGAGAAAATGTCATTTCGAGAAAATATCTCATAATTACGAGACCCTGATCTCATAATTACAAGAAAATTTGTCCTAATTATGATGAGATCTCATAATTACGAGAAATGAATAAACAATTATGGCATCTTATCGTAATTATGAGATCAGAATTGTATAATCATGACATCTTATTTCTAATTTTGAGATCTGATCTTGTAATTATGAGATCAGGAGTAAAATTTGTATTTCTATTTTTGCTGAATGCAATGCTCTTCTGTACTCATGCTGCTGTTGACATAAATTTGGAACAATGGGAACGGTTACGGTGTGTTCAATTGTGTCTGGCATGACCAAGGCAGCTGGCTAATATTGAAGGACGAGTTTTTGTTTTTTCCACCACTATGCGAGCACAACTGGAGGGCATACTGCACAAATTCTGACAGCTGTGCAACTTCCCAAATTGTGTCGGAGCTATTGAAGGGGAAACATGAAGCCCAAAGCTCCACCACATGCCAGCAGTGATTTTTACGACCATAACAGTGACCATTCTAAGTGACGAGCAGTAGAAGCACGTGCCGTTCCACATGAACAAACATGCCCACAAATTTCTGACCAATCACAAGAWGCAAGCTGCAAGTTCTGACTAGGGACAATGAGCAGGGCAGGGTGTCAGCGGGAGATAACGGACAAGCTACGCAATATTCTTTTACGCAACAGTGTCAGCGAGACGTGACATAAAACAACCCTGAGTCAAACCCTGTGGTTAACCTAGAAATAATGCGTGTGCAGCAATCTCACACTTTAATCATACAGATACAGAAATTATTTGAGGCACCGATTTCCTTCAGTCTGGGAGATCGGCTGATACGGAAAAGATCAGTTTCTCATCTACCTCTACAAATGCCTGAAAATCAGCCACTGTCCTCTTTTGCTCTGCTGTGAGCACCACCTAATATTCAATTAAAACAAGTTTGTTTTGCGGGCATAGTTCAAGGTTTTTCAATAGGATAACACTGAAACATTGAAGGTGTATTGTGCTCTTATAACACCTGACAGTGTCAGTTATTTAAGAAATCGATATCAGCCAAAATCTGAGTTGGCAGGTTATACTTTTTAAAGATCAGTGATAGGCCAGAAAACTGCCATCACTGCACCCCTACATACTGTACTGAAGCTTCAAAGATCGGTTCTGCACTGGTATTCTGCATATCTTTCCCAACATAAAACTAACCTGTGTGATGCTTCCACAAGGAGGCAGCTCTAAAAATAATTGGAGCACTGTTTATTTTTTTTATTAATTAATTAATTAATTTTTTTTTTTACCAGGTCTGTTGTTAGTGCTCTCCCAGGACAAGCTTTCAACCAATCAGCAAACGACCAAGCTGGGACTGTAGCTGTTCACCTTTCAGAGATCTGCACACAGCCCCCCCACCCCACCCCCCATTTTAAATCCAAATCTATCACTGTGCCACCAAAATCCTGCATAGAAGATTTTCCTTTAGCTGCTGCCATCAAAGATGAAAGAAACCGTCTGGGTCTTTAGCGTTGCAGAAGTGCACTGCACGTCATGCACAGGAACACATGTGAAAACTGTAAGCAGCAAGATTGAATGTAAAAAAAAATATAAAAATACCTGAAGCACTGCTGCAAATTCACAGCACCCTTATTTATTTCACCGGGGTTTTCTCTGATCAGGCATGGGCTTTCAGTTTGAACACGCACACACACACTCGCACACTCACTCACACACACTCGCACACTCACTCACACACACTCGCACACTCACTCACACACACTCGCACACACAGAGCTTTGGGTTCAGCTCATAGCCAGAGTGACGACTTCATCCAGCGGATGTCGTCGCACGGCCCCTTTAAATTTCAAAACCCAGCTGTGTCGTTAAACACTTGGAGATTTATTCCTCTCCCCACATCATTAGGAGCACGCGAGGCACAAACACAACACACAGACCCTCCCACCCACCCCACCCCTCACCTCACCTTCTCGATCTTTTCATCCAGCATCCTGAAAAATTCCTGCTGGCTCTCTGACGTGTGAATACTGAGGGAGGGAGGGACACAAATGGAAAAGTGAGCGACAGGAAGTTGAGGAGGAGAAGGGAGGCAACAAATACATCATGAGAATTTTCCATCACCCCCCCCCCCCCCCCCCGCACACAGACACACACCACACACACACACACACATATGAATCCTCTCTGCAGTGAGAGAAATTGTTGGTTTTGGAGGCTACAGATAAGATTTATAATAATTTAAAAATAATAAACCCATCTCTCGTTAAAGGTCAAATCTTTTTTTTTTTTTTAAATCACACACACACGACTCATCAGCAGGTCCGGAGTTTAAGGTTGGCCCAGAATCAGCTGTTCAAGATCCAGACAGAAACTATCACTAGGTTTAAACATCCTAATATTTACTGACAGGAATCAGAGTGTATGAAAAGACTGACTGTAAATTTCTCGCAGCTTTCATCCCTTCAACATCTGCTGCTCTTTTCCTTTAGCTGTACATAATTATGTGTCAGAGTCTGCTAGCGTTAACTGTAAACTCTAAGTTTGTCATGAATGTTTGTGTTATGCTCATGAATTTACAAAGTGAATCTTTAACCCTGAAATCTCAGAGCTCTTATACAGTTTCCACACATTTAGACTGAAATTCCTCAGTGTTCAAGCTTGACGAATTAAAATCCTAACATTTGACTCGTACAGTGAGGGAAACAATGTACGCAAAATAAATACCTCTTGTTCTTTTTATTTAATGTGTCCTTAAATGAAAAATAAATATATAAATAAATATAGTGTAGCACAGGGGCTGTTCCAGACCACTTACTTAGACTTGAGGTTTGATGAAGCCGCCTCTTTCTGTTTTTTGCCTCTGAACTCTGCATTACTCTTCTCCTAAAAACACACATTAGTTTTAATTATCAGCTGATAAAACACGGTGAAAACAAACAACTCGTATTAGCAGAACGGCCACGCCATGGAAAGCAGGTGACACATCGAAGCTGAATGATGAAATCAGGCCCTTCGCCCCAGCTGCTGTGGGACATGGGTCACAGATAAAATGAATGTGGCTCTAATAAAAACAGTTTATCAGCTCTGATGAAGGCTGCTGCCGTCACACCGGTGGACACGGTGTTCAGCTTTCTGCTGCCATGAGACGTGGAAGTGATTTTGACCCACATAAACATCATCATTTTTCTCCTCACAGCGTGTGTGGGTGTGTGTAGAGTTCCTGCCTAAAGCTAACACCAATATTAATGAGACGTAACAAAACTCGGATACAGGTTTGACTACATTTAGTGCTTACATGTCTGTGTAAATATGTGGGTTGAAACCTGCTACAACTCATTTAGCAGAAATACCACCCTGTGGTGCTCACGTCACTGATTTCTGTCAAAAAACAAAAACAAAAACATGACAACTGAAATAATACAACTTGTGTTGAATTTCTTTTAACCCTTTAAAGCAGAGGTGTTCTTTGTGACTCACTGTCCTTTATCTTTATTTAGGGTCCCCATCAGTCTCTAACTCAGCAGAGACTATTCTTCCTGGGGCCCAACAACAGAAAATACAAACACATTAAAACAAAACACAATTCAGACAAACAACAAAATCAAAAACTAATAAAAAATTAAATACAAATTAAAACGAAAGGAGCCAAATAAAAAAAAACATCAACATGAAGATCACGAAAACAAAAACTACTATTTTAAAGGGGCAATATCATGTAAAATCAACTTTTTTTGAGTTTTATATCATGTTATAATGTTACACTCTCATAAAAAACATGCCCAAAGCCTTGTTGACTCATTCATGCATGTTTGAGAAATCCTGCAGCGTTTTTAGGAAGCTGTGCTGAGGAGCAAAACGACAGGTGGGGACCAGAAACGCCCCTGGGACGTGTCTTTAAGACAAACTTCCTCATGGCAGAGAACCCACCCCCCTCCCTCCCTCTCTACACACCCCGCCCATGACTCCAGCAGGCTCTCGTGTGAAACTGAAAGTGAAACCTAACTGTCTGCTGAACTCTCAACATTAGTTGTCACTCAGAGAAGCTCTTTTCAGATTAAAAATACCTTTGAGGAAATGTATTTTCAGATGCCCAGCAAACTGCATCATAGTGCACGCGCAACCCCCCACCACCGAACGGGACGGAACAGAAGCAGAAGGAGGTTCTTAAAGAGACAGAGGCCAATTTCAAGGCATTTAGAAGAGGAAGTGATGAGAAGATAAGTTTATTTTCTATTTAAACATAAAAACAGCAYTTTAATAACAGCTAAAGGTGACATAGATACTTTATTATGGTATAGTATTTAAATATATGCCTGAGAAACACATAATATTGGCCCTTTAAAACTCCTTCCAAACCCTATTGAGGACTTAGAGAAAACACAATGAAATCAATAATAAATTAATTGTACAACTTGAACACCATCAATCTCAAAATTATCTCTTCTTCAATAATATATTCCTTAAAGCAGCCTTAAATTTACTGCAACTGACTAACACTTTTAAATCAAATGGCAATACATTCCAGATCCCAATTGCTCTGGAATATATTGCATGTTTTAGCTGTTTCTCTGCTTCTGCACACCTGATTTAAATCAATCACCAACTCAGAATGTCATCAAGGTTAGTCTACCTGTCAATCACACATTAATTTCAGTCAGGTGTGTTGAAGCAGCAGTGATAGCTCAGCTTTTTTGAAGCACGGTTCTGTGGACAGGTTATAAGTAGCTAATATCTTACCTGCTGTGGATGGATCTTTAAATGACCTTAGTTAGGATATGAAATGTTTGAGATGAGAGTTGTTTTAAGAAGACAGCAATCTACTCATATTAACAATTAACTTAACATTCTGGTCAAATTTAAACTGTATTTGAAACGCAATACTTGTGAACTGCAATGCAGCGAATGCTGATGGAATCACAAAATTTGACAAACAAAATGAAATCCAGTACTACACACAGAATGTCACACACATTCCATGTGTTTGGTTAAGTTTCCGACGTATTTCGGTTGTTGAATCTCCAATATCCTCCAAAACTTAAAAAAATATAAAGCTTAGCACAAAGTTTAGGACAGAAAAAAACCAAGGCAATTTTAATGAATCTGGAGAACAACCTTTCTGTAAGTTTCGTCAGCACATGATGGACTGTACATGTGATGACCACTTCCTGTTAGTCATCAAATACAAGCTGAGAGAGTCAGATGCACCTGCAAGCGCTTCAACATTCAGCCACATCAGTAGAAGCGAGGTGTGAGTTCATCAAAGATTTTGTTGCTATATGTTAATAATCATATTCCTTTGAAAAAATATGAAAAAAGCAAAAATAAAAAAAAGCATAGATCCTGTTCAAACGTTAAGTGTGCACAGATTGTTACTGTTTGTAGGTTTTATGTTTCTTTATTAGACAAATTTATATTAAGTTCAGTCTAAAGCATTTTTATTTTACAAGGATAAATTTTTTAATGTGAGATTTTATGTTTCGAACATAAAGAATGTTTTACGTTCTTTATAAGACGGGTAAATATTTTTAAAATACCTTGTAAAAGCATTTAATGTTCCGCTGAACCACAGCATATTTGTGAAAGGGAAATAATAGTCATTAAATTTTGAATTCTGTGACTATTTACTTATTTAGGATGTACTGTAATTCAAGGAATATGTTTGTGGAATAGTCTCGCTACGATTTTAAAAACCTTGAAAACAATTTATGCTTTTTAAAAGATGATTAAGTTGTAATTATTGGGAAATATACCATTTGTAGTATTTATTGGAAATAAGATATAAAGATATCAGATGTCTTTTTTTGTAAATTTGGAGATCTTTGAAGTTTGAGTTTGTTGATTGAATTTTTAAAAAATGGGGTAGATATGGGTGGGTGTGCTCCAATTACAGGGGGGTCACACTCTTAAGCCTCCCTGGTAATGTCTATTCAGGGGTCCTGAAGAGGAGGGTCAGTCGGATAGTCGAACCTCGGATTCAGGAAGAGCAGTGTGGTTTTCGTCCTGGTCGTGGAACACTGGACCAGCTCTACACCCTCAGCAGGGTCTTGGAGGG